CGCCAGCACGCGCAGGTGGAAGGCGAAGGCGGCCTCGCCGCGCAGGCGCGGGCCCACATGCGCCAGGCGGCGCGAGGCCTGCGGGTGCTGCCAGGCCCACTCGAACTGCGGACGGGGGCACAGAGCGTCAGGGCTGCCCGGGGCGGGTCCCAAGCCCCAGGCCCGCTGCCCGCCACCCCGTCTTCTGCCTTACCCGAAGGGCGGCCACGGCGGACGGGAAGCCATGCACGATGAGCACCATCTCCCTGGAGAGAACGAGGGCGCGGCTTATGAGCCGAATTCCCTCCCCGTGATCTCGCCTCCATCCCACCGACGGAGGGGTCCTCACGCCCGGCTTCAAGCGTAGCCACGAGTCGCCGCCCCCTTCGTGGAGGTACGTCCCCTCGCACCTGTCAACTCAGGACCTGCCTCCGGTCTCGAGTACCTAACTGTCTTCAGTCCCTTCCCTTCTAGGCTCTATTCTAACCCCAGCCTTGCTCACCAAGCCCCCTGTCGCCGCACCCCAGCCATGATCATCAATCCCTCTCTAGTCAAACCCCTCCCCAGAGTTCCCCAGCCGAGTTCCAAAGGGCTCCGCCTCCCTGCCACGCTCCTCCCCGGTGTTAGGCCCCGCCCTCGTCCTTAGACCCACCCACTCCGGCCCTGCACACTGTCACAGGCCTGGCCCCGCTCCTCTCCACAGGCTTCTGCCCCGCGGAGCTCGCCCCCTCCGTGAAGCCTTCCTCCTGGCACAGAGACCCGCCCCCTCTTACCATGGCCCTCGCCCGCTGGTCCGCCAGGCCCCGCCCTTTCTGCGGCCCCCGTTGTGCTGCTGGACCCGACGAGCAGGGTTGACGGTGAACCCCACGTAGACGCGGCCCCGGTGGCGGGGATTCAGGCAGTACAGCAGGTAGACGCCGAAGAAGCGCCCTGGCCTCGCCGCGCCCTCCAGGGGACCCATCGGGACTTGTGGGTCTGGGGCCGCAGCTAGGGGTTGATCGCTGGGACCTAGGACCCCGGGGAAGTCTGGGTTGCTAGGTCTGCAAGATGCTTGTTTTGAAAAGCGCTCGGGGGCGATCCCGAGGCACTCTGGAGGCCACAGCGGTGCAGCTTCGTGCACCCTGTCCTGGCTGGACGTAGGCGTCTGCAGCGGCCCGCAGAACCCAGGCTGCGGTGCAGACGGCGGGCACCAACCAATTAACGTCCGCCCCAGCAGAGACCGTCCTCACGCACACTCTGATTGGCTAACCGGTGGTAAGCGCGGAAACCTTTGACTGTTGGAAAGCCGGCTTGCGTGAGGGCGGAAGTGCTGCGTTTACGGATGCCTTGGTAAGGGCGGAAGTCGATGTCCCAGCGGAAGTGGCGCCTGCAAGGGCGGAAAGCAGTGCGGCCGGGGTCCTAGCTGGGGTTCCGTCCCGGCTGGGCCGCCGCTATGGAACTCAGCGCAGACTACCTCCGAGAGAAGCTGCAGCGGGACTTGGAGGCGGAGCACGTGGTGAGTTGAGCCGCCCGGGCCCGCCCAACGAGGGGAAAGGGGCTCCTGAGGGCGGGGGCCACATTATTCTACATTATTCTGCTCGGTAGGAGGTGGAGGACACGACTCTCAACCGCTGCTCGTCCAGCTTCCGAGTCCTGGTGGTGTCGACCAAGTTCGAGGGGAAGCCGCTGCTTCAGAGACACCGGTGAGGCCCTGAGAATGCCTCGCCCAGCGCGGTCACAGCTCCAGGACCACAACCCCGACCGCTCCCTATTCCCTACGATAACTCCCTTGCCCCCGCCACTGTGGCCCATGACCCTGACGATCCCGCCTTCTTGGCCCCTGTTTCGAGCATTTTTCTACTTGGGCCCTCACCCCGCGTGTTCTCACGTCCCAGGGACTACAACCTCGGGGACATTTTCAGTCTCCTGGGTCACCATGGCTTTGAGGACTGCGACCCAGGCCCCAGCCTGCCGTTTCCTAACCCATTCTCTTGCCAGGCTGGTGAACACGTGCCTAGCCGAAGAGCTCCCGCACATCCATGCCTTTGAGCAGAAAACCCTGACTCCAGAGCAGTGGGCTCGTGAGCGGCAGAAATGAGGGACCAGCACCAGCACAGCCATTAAATTATGAATCACAGCCAGCTTCTGTGTCAGCATGTTGTCTGTGGGAGGATGGGAGGGATGCTGAGCCTAGGGCCCAGCTTTTCCCTGCCCTGCCACTGTCATTGTGTTACCTTGCGCATGTCCCTCTCCGCATGTAAAATGAGTGTTCCCACTTGTAAAATGAAAGTTCTATCCTTAAAGTTTTTTCAAGGGCCTACCTTGCAAACCTTTCTGTAATTCTCTGTTGACCTCTGGATGTCTGTACTGCCACTACCCACCCAACTGCCAGAGAGCTGTGGGTTCCTGTTCTCTGCCAGCCTTTAAGACGCAGAGATGAGAAAGTGTTCAGGGTTTCAGGGCTCTGACAGGGAACAAACCTCTCCTCCTCCCCAATATCACCCTGATGTCAGAGGCAAGGTACAGAATTCCACACATCCCAAGGATTCCCCAGACTCAGAGGAAGTGGCCCACTTGAGAAGGTCCAGTGGCCCCATAGCCCTGGGCTTGATGTGGCCACAGTTGCCCCTGGGAAGACCACTGGGTTTCGGGAATGGGGGATGTGAGATGGGATTATCAGTCTTAAAACCCACAGGTTTTTAGGGTTGGTAGGACCTTGCACAGAGGCCCCTGAGACCCAGGAGGGGCAGCAAGTGACCCAGTTGGGGCCAGGGCCATCCCACATACTCTGTTCTCCTGTGTTTTCTTTTTTTTAAAAGATGACTGGTAAGGGGATCTTAACCCTTGACTTGGTGTTATCAGCACCACGCTCCCCCAGGTGAGCTAACAGCCATCCCTATATAAGGATCTGAACCCGTGGCCTTGGTGTTATCAACACCACACTCCCAACTGAGCCACAGGCCGGCCCTTCTCCTTTGTTTTCAAGGCCAGTTTCTCAGCTCCTAAATTACCTCCACCCCCACCTCCCTCTGGTTCCCTTTAGAGAGAGTGCATTGGTAAAGCTGGGAGTCTTGGTGATGACGAGTTAACCCTTATGGCGTTCTAAACCCCATAAGGGCCTATCATCCCCATTGTCCTGGAGAGGCTCAGAGAAGGAACATCACATCTTTAAGAGCACCCAGACCACACCCCTGATTGGATCTACTCTTGCATTCACTGAGCTGTGATGGTATCCGTCCCCTATTTTATGGATGGGCAGCTGAGACGTGGAGAGAAGTGACTTGCCTAGGGTCACATGGCTTGCATAGGGGGTAAGAGCCAAGTGGACAGAGAGGGACGTTTGTATGTCTGCCTCATATAGTTCTCTCCCAGGTAGTTCTCCATGGCATGCTGAACAGGAGGGGGCTGGGAATGGGGCCTTTCTTTCGTGGTCCGTGCATGGTATGAACCATGCCCCGCTATGACAGACACCCATCCCAAATAGCCCTGTGTTCTCCCAGCTCAGGGGGTCACTAATTTGGGCAACAAAAATCCTCCCAAGCCCCTTCTTAACAGGGCCTGACAGATCTATTCCTGCCAGGTCCTTCTGTCACAGAGGCCAGGCCCATGCAGAACCCACAGTAAAGGCTCAAGAGGCAACAGTAGCAGTAGGCAGGAGAAGACTGAAGTAGAAGGGGGAGACTTAGGTCACAACTTGGAATTTGCCCTTCAGCAAGTCTCCTGCTCTGTGCTTCAGTTTTCTCACCTGTAGACTAGAGTCAGGCTGTTGCTTTGGTTCTATGTTTTTTCCTTACAAAAGTTCCCCTATATTTTCATCCTTTGGGCCTGCAGTTTGAAAGATGTCTACCATGTTAGTGCTAGTCATTCATTTCCCCACAAGCAACAGTGTCAGTACAGTTGCATACAACCTGAGGTTTTGGTTGATTAGGAAGGCAGATTTGGGGTAAATAAGGAACTTTTGAGGCCCCAGCTAGGGCCTTGAATAGCTCAGACCTGCCAGCTCTGAGAAGCTGGGAAATGGAGAGCAGCCCCAACCCACATCAGCATGGTGATTCCCGCCCACCGAGGTCCTATTCCTGTGATGTAGGCACTGGGAGGCATCCCCCACCCCACCATGGGACAGTCCCACCAGGGCTGTGGAGGGGCAAGCTCAAGGTCAGGTCCGTTCAGAAGACCCAGCATCCAAGTGACCAGTCATCAGAGTCAGAGGTACCAGAAAATAAAGCCATTTTATGATTTTTTTCTTATCTGCCACTGTGGCCTGAGGGATGGAGTGTGAATGGTTGGCCCAGCGGATGGCCCTGGGTCCTCTACTTAGCCTGGACTGTCTCCTCCAGCCTGTCCAAGCGCTTCTGTAGCTCCTGCACCGTGGCCTGGAGCTTCTTCATTTCTTCCTCCAGCCGGGAGACAGCATCCTGGGGGACCCAGCGCCATGTTAGGCCCAGCACCTCCCTGGGCTCCTCTTACCCTGGATCTGCTAAGCCCCAGGGCTTGGGCCCTTCTGTCTTGGCCAGTTGCTGCCCAGGGAACTGCAGCCTGGCTGGCCAGTTAGCTCAGTCGGTTATAACACCAAGGTCAAGGGTCCAGGAGCTGCAGGCCTATCAACCCAAAAGCTATTTTCTGGGGCCTTGGGATGACCCACTGGCCCCAAAATATCCCCAGTATTGTGAGGGTGGGCTGCCCCAAACACCAGCTTCCCTCTACTGGGGCACTGTCCACGCCCATGGCAGCCCCCACCCTACCCCTTCTCCTGTCCTGATTCCCTGGCTCCCCATCCTCCTCTCACCGAGCTGGGAGTGCCACTGGCCTCTGGTGCTGCCCTCCTGCGCCCAGTGTCCAGGCCCCGGTGGACCCGCAGCTCTCTGCTCTTTGGGGGTACATAGCCATCCTTTAGGGAAATGAGGAGGGGACTGGCATCCCGACCCCCTAGCCACTCCTCGGCTGTGAGGGCAGGGTCAGGCCCTGCGGTGGGCGGGTACAGGTCCTCCTGGAACAGGTCCGACTGTGGGCAAGAGCAGGGCTGGTTAAGAGAGTGCTCACCCCACAACACCACCCTGCAACTCCCCGTGGCCAGCGCCCGCCCGGAGCCCAGGGAGGGGCATGGGAGCATCACCTTTCTAGGCACTGTCATGGCGATGGGCTCGCACCTCCGCTCGTGCAGCTTGTAGAATCTGTGGAAACAGGAAGGTGAGCAGTGCCTGCAGCACAGGTGGACGGGGACCGAGGGTCAGTGTGGCGTCAGTGCTGCCCAAGAAGCATACTGTGGTCAGGGTCGGGGCAGTCACCTGGCAATCTCACACTTGTTCACCTCCAGGCCACGTTTGGGCATGTAGCCCATGCCACGCTGGGACTCCTTGGAACTGAACATGGAGAGATAGTGCAGGAATGGGGCCTCGGAAGTGATCTCGAAGTACCGGATGGAGCTGTCACCCTGTAGGTGGTGGGTGCAAGGTGAGGGTCAACATGAGCAGACACCTTCAGCCCTGATCCTCTCCAAGCCACTCCTGCCCACCTCCCTGCCCCACCTTGCCACAGAGGTAGACAATGTTGGTGTCGGGGTCAAAGAAGGGCAGCAGGACGCCACTGCTGGTGTCCAGCTCCTGCAGGGACAGCGGCTCCTCCAGGTGCTTCTGTAGACAGGAAGGAGGTCACAGTGGGCTGGGCCATGTTGCTCTTCACTAGGCAGTGACCCAGTGAGGGCCCTCCAGAATAGCCAGTGGAAACCCCCATCTCAGGAGGGGGTAAACTGAGGCCCATGGCCATCAGCCAGGCAAGTGGCAGAGTGAGGACTAAGCCTCCAGTCTTGATTCCCAGCCCAGAGGCCTCGGCTCCCCTCTAGGCACTCACTGTATCCCACAGCGCCACCTGCCGCTCACTCATGCGGCTGAAGCCTGTGGTCAGGATCTTTCCATCCGATACAAACACAGCGTGCACAGGCCGGGTCCCCTCATGGGGACGATCCTTCTCCTGCAAGGAAAGGGAGGTGGGAGATCAGGCACCCACATACACTGTAAGAGGCCAGGCCCCAGGTGGCAACAAGGGAAGCCAGCATCCCAGGGCCTGGCTGATGGTGGGTGAGAGGGATAAAGGTCCTAGGGTCAAGGGTCAGGGCTCGTGGCAACTCACAGCTACAATAGTGCCTTTGCGGGGCTCGATGATGCGCACACGCTTGTCGCGGCAGGAGGTGCAGATGAGGGTGCCGTCACGGCTCCAGTCCACGCTGTAGATTGTGTCCGGGTGCACATCTGGGCCCAGCGTCAGCACAGCCTCCCCAGTGCCCACATCCCACACCAGGATCACGTTGTCACAGCCTGTGCAATCCCCCCAGTGTCAGAAGCCAGGAGCCTCCCGCCCTCATCTATGTCAGGCCACCAGCCCCACCCTTCTCCTCCCTCCACTCCTGTGGCACCTGCACTGAGCAGCACATTCTGGGCTGTGGGGTGCCATGACACGATGCCCACACGCTTGGTGTGGCCCTCCAGGGTGACAACAGGCTCCCGCAGGGGCAGCACCAGGCCACCATCCGGGATCTCCCACACCTGCAGGGAAGAGGCGAGTGAGTCTTTGGGGCTCTAAATGTCAGGTCCCATCCTGGAGCCCCCCTCCTAGCCCCTGGGTCCCCACCACCACTCACCATGACTGTACAGTCCTCGGAGCCACTGGCAATGACATTGTCATTGTGCGGGCACCAGGCGATGTCCAACACAGGGGCTGTGTGGCCACAGACCATGGGCACATTCTTGTCCACACGTCCAGTCTAGAGGGCACAGCAGGACCTTTGACAGAGGAACTTTTGCCCTCCAAACCCAATCCAACCTCGCCATATCCCCTTCAGAGTGGTACAGGGAGGAGGGCTGTGAGGTCCCCAGGAGGTGGACAAGGGCCTGGGGTAGGGAAGGTTTGTCTTCTCTTTGCTTCAGTCCCAGAGCTGCCTGGGCAGATCCCAGGAGGGCTGGCCATAGTAGCGTAGGATCAGCAGGGAGGGGTGACATGCTGGGTCCTGTCCCTGCCTTTCTGTGAGACCCTGGCCAAGTTTCTCCAGTCCCTCTCTCAGTTTCTAATCTGTATCCCCAACCCCACTTCCCTGAGTGAGGCTTCCAGGGCCTAGGACAGGTATAGGGTTGGGGTTCTCCAGGAAAGTGTGTGAATGGTGGGGCTGCGGGGATGGCTTATGCTCAAAGGAGATGGGCCAGGGAAGTCTGTCCTAACTGGCCCCCCGGCAGAAGCAGAGGTTTGGAAATGGCCTCTTCCGAGGACAGTGGCTTCAGCAGGGCTTCCTGTGTGGGGAGCCATGTGGGG